GAGTTACATTGGCCTAATGCTTATCCCATTCCTCCTCCCCCAGTGAAATAAGCTATACTGGCGAAAGCACATTTATAATTATCATGCACCAAAATTAACAGCATAGCTATCCAGATCACAGACCACACTTCAACATACTGCTGATTGACATGCTGTGTCTGCAACAGTCTATAATGTGGGCCTGGCTCAAGTCTTCAGTACATTGCTCACTGACCATTGTATGAGAGCTCCGTTTTCAACTCTCTGTGTTGTTTACCATGGACAGGAAATTCCCACATTCCAATGTCATTATGGATCCTATTTTCCCTTTATTATCCAGTTCTGCTCATGCTTTCCAAGATTCCTGGACATAGCTACCAAAACAATTCTAGAAAACTGCAACAATTATAGTTTCCTATTCACTCTAGCAAAACTCAGCAAAACACTATCTTGTCCTTGGTACATGTGAAAATCATCACGGGAAAACCCTAATCACACTTTAATACATCTCTAGTGCAAAGCATGCTAGGAGGTTGATTCTGTTAGTCAACATTATAGTTTATATTATGTAGCAAGTATTATGCCTTTTAAAGGCCATACATTTAAGCTAACAACTGACATTGTCGGGAGTCAAATGACTGCACCATGTCATCTGCCAACCTGAGTAGCTTGCAAATTTACAAGTAGCTTATGTTTTGGCTCTTTAAATTATGCCCCCATTTGAACATGAAACATTCACGTGCAGGAAAATTCTAACAGCAATGAAAGAGTAATGTTCTCATGGGTTTGACTGATCCTCATTCATCCATGGTCGTGTGATCTCGGCGCTTGCTTCAGTTTTCACAGATGTAGACATTTCTGAACATGGACTATCACATTTTAATTGTTTTAGGGCAACAGCATACGGAGGAGTTCGCTAAAGTGAACATCCTAAAGAAAGTGCCAGTACTGAAGGATGGAGTCTTCACCTTAGCAGAGAGGTAAGAATTCAGTCCCCATTTACTCACCATGATGAGGGGATAAGGTCATCCAATTCCAGAGCTGGGAAGTACCATTCCTGACAGATGATTTTTAAAATTGCAGAATTTGCCATGTATGGTTTAGACGGATTGTCTGTTTCGGTATCCAAGCAAGGAGAGCAATGATAACATGCAGTGTTATCATTGAGTAGATGGGGCTACTATAAGGTGGGTGCATAACTGGCTGGATAACCATTCTCAGAGAGTAGTTATTAACGGTTCACAGTCATGTTCAAAGGGCATAACAAGTGAGGTTCCGCAGGGGTCTGTTTTGGGACCAGTTCGGTTCAATATCTTCATCAATGATTTAGATATCGGTATAGAAAGTACGCTTATTAAGTTTGCAGATGATCCCAAGCTGGGAGGGGTTGCAAATGCTTTGGAGGAAAGGGTCATAATTCAAAATGATCTGGACAAACTGGAGAAATGCTCTGAGGTAAATAGGATGAAATGTAATAAGGACAAATGCAAAGTTCTTAGGAAGGAACAATCCGTTTCACACACACAGAATGGGAAGTGACTGTCTAGGAAGGAGCACTGCAGAAAGCGATCTAGGGGTCACAAGATAAATAGTGTGACACTGTTGCAAAAAAAGCAAACACGATTCTACGATGCATTAACAGCAGTGTTGTGAGCAAGACACGAGAAGTCATTCTTCTGCTCTACTCTGCGCTGATTAGATCTCAATTGGAGTATTATGTCCAGTTCTGGGCACCACATTTCAAGAAAGATGTGGAAAAATTGGAGAGGGTCCAGAGAAGAGCAACAAGAATGATGAAAGGTCTAGAGAACATGAGCTATGAGGGAAGACTGAAAGAATTGGGCTTGTTTAGTTTAGAAAAGAGAAGACTGAGAGGAGACAAGATAGTAGTTTTCAAGTATCTAAAATAGTGTTAGAAGGAGGAGGGAGAAAAATTGTTCTCCTTGGCCCCTGAGGACAGGACAAGAAGCAATGGGCTTAAACTGCAGCAAGGGAGGTTTAGGTTGGACATCAGGAAAAAGTTCCTAATTGTCAGGGTGGTGAAACACTGGAATAAATTGCCCAGGGAGGTTGTGGAATGTCCATCACTAGAGATACTGAAGAGCAGGTTGAGTAGACATCTATCAGGGATGATCTAAGCAGTACTTGGTCCTGCCATGAGGGCAGGAGACTGAACTTGACGACCTCTTGAGATCCCTTCCAGTCCTAGTGTTCTATGATTTAGATGTTTAAAGCTATGCACATATTTCAAATATATATGTTTCAGGCTTGAAGCTGATACTAAGAAGTGTCCTCTTTGGTCAGGAGTCTTAGAAATTGTGCAATAGCTATTTCTAGATTAATTGATCCTTCTTATTCATGGGGAATTGCCCGTTTTCTCACATGGGCATCAAACTGGAGTAGAACAATACAGTGTTTGACTCCTACTGGCTCTGAAAGTGTTAATTTAACTGGTACTCGTGCTTAGACTGTGTGGGTACCCACCTAGAATGTGTCTGCAATTATCATTTTACATTTCACACCTCTTTACAATGAAAGGGAAGCTGCCAAGATAAAAATCACAACAAAGATTTAAAATTCTGACCTTTTAACATCCCAAGTTATGGTAATAACAAAAATCTACTTTACTTTGCTTTTCTGCATTTCTCAGGGAATTTCAGCTTCTATGATGGGAGCACACTATAGTTCTTGCTTATTATTTTGTATTCTCATAGCACCTAAGAGCCTTGGTCATAGGCTTTGCCACTTAGTTCTCATGTGCATGTGCCGCCCAACAAAAATCCTGGATTATGAACACTGAAGAGAAATGCTTTAAGTTAACCAAACAAAAAGCCCTTATACTCTGAAATGCAGAATCCTAGCAATATATCTTAGTCACTCCATATACACATCAGATAACATCTTACCTTGATTTTACAAAATGACCTGTCTGTGTCCTTTGCAGAACCGCACTTAGCAGGTTGACTCTGTTATCATACTGCTAAAACTGGTATCAGAGAGGCATGGGCTGCCTGTATTTTCTTCCTTTATTTTTCCCAGCAGAGGTTTTTCTATGGCACTTCCCTCCTGCCCACAGTAGCTGACCATTCCTCACTGCAGATGACTGAGATTTTTCACCAGCTGATTTCTCCGGCCAGCTAGCAATGACACAAACACTGGCATGCAGCAAACACCCAGAGCATGATCCTGCAAGCTCTGTGTGCAAGGGATTCCACTGACTTCACCTGGAGCCCAGGGGGGACGGGGGGAAGACTTGTAGGACAGGGCCTCTATGAAGATGACTGGTGGGGGAGGCTTTTTCAAGGGAGCTTCAGCGGGTACACAAACCCCTTGGAAATCTGCTGTAATAAGAGAAGCATCCGAAAAGTACGGTTGCTAATGGCGTGTTAGCAAAATATGGCCTACAGATTATTGTTATTCGTAGGGGTGGTTAAAGTACTGTTACTGCAGCATCTGTGAACACTAGTCATAAAAACATCAAAACAGCCAGACTGGGTCAGACCAAAGGCCCATCCAGCCCAGTGTCCTGTCTGCCCACAGTGGCCAGCACCAGGTGCCCCAGAGGGACGGAACACAACAGGAATCCTCACCTGATCCCTCCCTTGCCAGCCACCTCCAGACAAACAGAGACTAGGGGCACCAGGACTCTGTTGTTCCAGTGCTTTACAAACACTAATTTCATCAGGAGGCTTAATTTTCCAACAGGCTAAAGTTCTGAAAGGAGCCTCCAGGAGTTAGGTGCCCAACTCGGACTTTCTGTAGGACTTGAGTGGCTACCTCCACTTGGGCGAGGGATGTTCAAAGGAGCCATGTTAGAAACGGGGGAGGAGAGATCGATGTGGCTGAGTAATACTCTTTCACCTTATCTACCCTGCTGTTTGTCTCCCATTAATTTCTGGACAGCACTGCAATTCTTCTGTATCTGAGCCGGAAGTACAACACTCCTGACCACTGGTATTCATCTGATTTACAGAAAAGGGCCCGGGTAGATGAATACCTGTCCTGGCATCATAACAGCTTCCGGAGAATTGCTCCCAAGACCTTGTGGATCAAGGTAAGGAGATGAAATACAAAGAGCCCAGAACACTAGTATTTCCTCGCTGGATGTGGAATGTTTAAACAGCTCCTATACAAAGCAAGTTTGTCTCCCCAAAATAGCACACTTGGCCCCTCCCCCAGAGGAAACACCACGTAGGGAATTGTTCCCAGTTCTTTGATAGGTGGATGTGGGAAGGAAGGCCTTGGTCATAATTTCCCCTTAAAATACCAGTCTAACAGAGAGGGTTGCAAGCTCACCAAAGAAGCGCAGATCTTTACAGTCTGAATTTCAGGATTAACTCAGAAAAGCAGAATAGAGTATTGAACCTAAATGGACCTCCCTTCATTATGCAGCCACATGAGCGCCCAGTGCACAAAGGTGTGTTTATACTGCAGCCCCGGCGTGTGATTGTAGCCTGGGTAAATGCACCTTTACCTAGTTAGCTTGGGCAATGCTCCCTCTAATTTTCCCAACCATGTGCAGAATAAATTTTGTTATGTGCTGCACCCAGGCATGTGCCAGTGTGCACCACCAGTAGAAACACGTGCTGGCTGTGGTCTCCCTGCTAGTCAGCTGGGCAGCAGTTTAGCCTCTCCTGGGTGGCAGCCCAAGAACTCAGCTTACAGGAAACACTCCACCTGGGTTCCTTTTGCTTCCCAGGTGAGTGCATGCTCTGCTACACAAAGCTGAAAGGCTCGTATTCTTTAAACACAACTTCTCTGAAACTGAAATCTGTAGCAGTCTAATTCCGAACTCTGCAGGGGACCATCTGTTTCCAGCACACACAGTTGCTACTACAAAAAAAGGACAGGAATAGATATGATGGGGGCACATCTCTTGAGTGGAGAATTGTCAGTAAACATGTAATAATTTCAGCTTGCTTGTTGTAACTTTGCCCTTGTCAGTAACTGACTAAACACTTCAGGACTTGCTTGGTTTCTTGTTCTGTTGACAGTAGAGTTTTGGCAAAAGGCCATAAAAAAGAAACATAAATGAGTCACAGGCAATGTACAATTGCTTCCAGTCTCTGGAACCTGTTCTCACATGGCTTGAAAGTACATTAATTCAATTTAATCTGACTGTTGATTAGATAATCCTGGTCCAGGAATTATTATCTCCTAGATCACTGGAGGTAGGAAAGGCTACAAAACCACTCTGCAGAGTAGAACACACTAACTAGTTTCTGAAGAAGTGGGTTGTGCCCTCAACAGCTCATGATACTATATATATATATATATATATATATATATAGTTAGTTTCTAAGGTGCTACAGGACCATTCATTGTTTTTTTTAAAGTTTTTTAACTACATTATGGCAGAAGACAAATTGTCCCAAGAATGGATAAAGGAGAAAGATGCTGTCCCAACCCACTACACTGAAATGCTATGATTCACTACTGCAACATCTGACCTGGGAATGGAATGGGTTATCCATACCATATATATATATAGTTAGTTTCTAAGGTGCTACAGGACCATTCATTGTTTTTTTTAAAGTTTTTTAACTACATTATGGCAGAAGACAAATTGTCCCAAGAATGGATAAAGGAGAAAGATGCTGTCCCAACCCACTACACTGAAATGCTATGATTCACTACTGCAACATCTGACCTGGGAATGGAATGGGTTATCCATACCAGAAGGTTGGTTCCTCTTTTTTTTTTCTTTTATTGCTCAACAAGTTTTTCTTTTTTGGGGGAGGGACATGAGGGTTTTTCAAAAATCAGAAAGGGGAGCATGATGCTGAAAAGTTTAAATCAAGACTGGATGTCTTTCTAATAGATACGCTATAGCTCAAACAGAAGCTATGGGCTTGATGGAAAAGTTAAGGGATGAGGTTTACTAACCTGTGATATGCAGGAAAACCAACAAGATGATCTTAATAGTCCCTTTGGTCTGAAAGACCTATGACTCCTCCAGTTCTGAATAGATTTTGCTGGGTAGGGGCTGAGCCTCAGCATTGCTTTGGAACCAAGTAATAGAACGTCTTCCTGGCTTCCTTGATTATTCCTGGAAAATAAATGAAGGATTTATACCTTTATTCTCTTACCCATGTCAAATGAAAACCATATGACTGTTGTGTCCCTTGTCATGAAGAAGACATAGGCCTTGGGAATAGTAAATAGAGAGGGTTTATCCAGGATGCTGGACTTGCAAAGACCTTGTAGCTACTTTAGGGTATGTCTACACTACAAAGTTAGTTCGAACTAACGGACGTTAGCTCGAACTAACTTTCATAGGCGCTACACTAGCGCTCCATTAGTTCGAATTTAATTCGAACTAACGGAGCGCTTAGTTCGAACTAGGTAATCCTCATTCCACAAGGATTAAGCCTAGTTCGAACTAGCTAGTTCGAATTAAGGGGTGTGTAGCCCCTTAATTCGAACTAGTGGGAGGCTAGCCCTCCCCAGGTTTCCCTGGTGGCCACTCTGGCCAACACCAGGGAAACTCATCTGCCCCCCTCCCAGTCCCGGACCCCTTAAAGGGGCACGGGCTGGCTACGGTGCCCGTGTCAGGTGCAAGCCTGCCAGCACCCAGACAGCAGACCCTGCACCTGGCACGGCTCGAGCCAGCCACCCGGTGCCCCCCAGCCCTCCCCCCCCTCCCCGG